TTTAACCTTAACAGCGAATTAACGTGAAATACTGAGGTAAAGTGCGTTAGGCAAACCACTGTTTTCAGTGGAGATTTTAAACAGTATTTTCTAGTACTTCTTTTGTTTGTTATTTTCAGATTTCTAGTCTGGATGTACACTCTTAAAAATAAAGGTGCTTCAAAAGGTTCTTCAAGCGATGCCATAGAAGGACCATTTTTGGTTCCACAAAGAACCATTCAGTCAAAGGTTCTTTAAAGAACCATCTCTTTCTTACCTTTTTATATTCTGAAGAACCTTCTTTCGCCACAAAGAACCTTTTGTCAAACAGAAAGGTTCTTCAGATGTTAAAGGTTCTTTATGGAACCATTTAGACAAAAAGGTTCTTCTATGGCATGAAGCACCTTTATTTTTAAGAGTGTATAAGAAATGTAATGATGCTATCTGTTCTAACTATAAAAGGTACAGCTGTCATAAATCCAGAGAAAAAAGCTGCATGGGCATGATAGTATGTGAGAGAGTCAGTGGTAATATCATTGCATTCCTATTGTTCAGTGTTAGAGGAGCTCAGCTTAGTCTGACAGTTTGCCTGCCCTGGACCAGGTTAGCTTTCCAGCATAAGTTGCCACAGTGACTGATTTTGATCTTTGTTAAATTTGTTTTATGGAACCAAATCATTTGACAGTGAGTCAGACTAACTGAAATAAGCCTGGCCTATTTGGTAAACTTGTTTTATGAAACAGGCCTCGAGGCGTTAGAAGTCAGAAGACACATAAGTTAATTTATAATTTGCTGTCTGTCTGAACCAAAGAGATAAATGCGATCATATTTTTTCCATTGCATCGTATCGCATTGTGTTGAATCGAAATCGAAATTGCATCGCTAGCTGCTTCATATGTATCTTCAATGTATCGTATCGTTGGCTATGCATCAAGATGCGTATCACATCGGCCTCAGTTATGGAGATGCACATCCCTAGTACATACATGTTTTTACATTGTACTTATATTTTTTAAAATACCTGTAAATACATCTGTAATTAATTTCTGTAATTACATTTATAATTACACTGTTGACCCATCCCTTTATACCTTAACCCTCCCTTAAACCCATACCACCAAACCTGTCCCTAACTTTACCCGTATCCCACCTCAATAGCAGCAGAAGTGTTTTGCAATATAATATGAACACAATAAGTACATTGTACTTATTTATTGATGCAAGTGTACCTTGTACTTATTTTTTGATGTAAGTACATAGTATTTAAGGCCACCTAATATAAAGTGGGACCAAATTTAATAATGTGGATTTAAATGTTGTAAAATATATTATTTGAGTACTACACTCTTGGTAGCTGGAAGCATTAACATGTATTTGCCAAAACATTCAATTCAATTCAAGTTTATTTGTATAGCGCTTTTTAAACTTGTGTAAATCCGTGGCAAAAACAGAGAAACAAATAGAGGCATTATTAGCGTAGCTGCTGTTCCAACCAATCAAAATTGATTTGTTTAACCCAAGCTAAAGAATAATAATGCACATTTG